AAATTTAACTTGATTCCAAGGTGACGGAGCGTATTGTGTGTAAGGGTTCAGAGTGTAGACCATTGTTGAATCTTTTTTGTCATCATAAGATACATAGTAGGATATTAAAATATCGAGGCTTGCAAGGAATCCAAGAGCTATACTAGCGTTTGTATCATGCGTCCCTTCAGAAACGTCGAGAAGGAAAATTGGCGACTTTATGTTGCAGGTTGATGAGCGCATGAACCCAAAGATGAGTGATGTCAGTTTCGGCAGAGATTCGTATCTGAGGATGTACGTAGGATGGCTGGGAAGATATCCTTCGATTTGCTTCCGTTTCTGATCACTATTTATAACGATTAGCGGTTTTCCAGAATCGACATTCCCACTTGCCATTTGGTCATCAACTAAATCAGAAGATATGATCAGTGGATTCGAATTATTTGCAAATCCTTTATCAATCAATTCCATCTGCAAGAATAATAAGCAATTTTAACAAAGATTAAAAATTATTAAAATAAAAAAAAAAAGTGTGGTCACGCTTGAGCTCAAGGCATGCAAAATAATCAACTCACCGTATGATTGATGAGGTGTGATTTGATTTCTGAACTGTGAATGCTGCTTCCATTTGAAAAGTGACCACTAAATACGCAACAGCAGCACAAAAAAACTTTAATTAGCTGCATTATTGATCTGCTGATGGTCAATCCAGAAAATCGATTCCGCACAATTAAAAATTAGAAATGTTTTAAAACTTCGAAAATCTTTGATATATTTAAAAAAGCGACTTTGATGCGTCTGACGAGCTAGTAACTGATCAGTTTGAAGTAAAGTTTCCTACTGAATGTTTTGCAATATGTGTCACTCTGTTTTTAATTGTTGCTAATGACAACTACAGCTCACGATGTGGCACAACATCGTAAAAATTAGTGATGAGCTTCGTGTAAAAGACACGTCAACTAGGTCAGCTATTACTTGGTTCTTGCAAAGGTGTTTTTATTGCTTCCATAAAACTGGCTGGGACCTCCACAAGAGCTGCTGGTGCTTTAGAAATTATCGACCGAAAATTGCCCAGGAGCTGTGCTCTAGCTCTTTCGTTCCACTAATTTTTCGTCATTAAGTCAATAATGACATGCATTACAATCTTGACGATCGCGCATTTTTATTCGGTGTTACTAACATGTCGATTTATTGAATAGTAAAAGAAATAAATATATGAGAAATTAAATATTTGAAAATTGACTGACTCTGCAATCCATCCCTGGAATTTTCTGCTATTCACAAACTCAATACGCTTCAAAAATTCATTATTACTAAGTTCAGAGCGTTTCAAACTAAATATCTGAAAAAAGTAGTTGACCTTCAAGCCATCTTTGGAACTTCCCGCATTTTTCGAGCTTAAAACGACCGAAAATTTTCCGATTAATTGATTTTTAAGCTCTTTGAGCTAAAAAATTCAAGAGTTACATAAAATAAACGATCATTTAAAAATTTATAAATGCCTATAATTTTTGAAGGCGTTGTTCGATTATGACTTGGATAGTGGCATTCGATACAGTTTTTTATATTCAATATTTTGAAAGTAAATCAGAAAAAATTAAACATAAAGCTTTTTTTTGTTTTCATTTTTAAAACGGCGTGACCTAAAATTCTTTTCAAATTTTAGATCGATTACTCAAAAATTGTGCTAGTGCATTGGAGAATCATCTTCGCCATTGAAAATCCATTGGAAAGAAAAATTTTTTTTTTTTTTTTCAATTTGTAAATAACTAATACCTATATTAATTCTTTTAAATCTGATTTATTAGATGTTGAAGAAAAAAATAACTTTTAAAGCAGTATTTTACTTTAAAACTCATAGAGAAGAATTGTTAAGTAGATTAAATGAATTAAAATGAATATTCATTATATTTTACAATCAATTTCTTTAATACCACAAAATAGCTTTTACAGAAAGAGTTAATTTAAAATACTAGTTTATTCACACTCTTAACACATCAAATTTTGTAAGCTAGAAGACATTTTAATAAACAGAAGACATCAATTGTATTTTAAATTTAAAATTTATGCCAAAATTGTTTTAAAAAGTCATAAAAGACGCCATCTTTTAACGAATCAGTTGTAATGATCCGTAATATGCTATGTGACTGAGTAGATAAAAAAATTCAGCTTTGAGGACAAAATTATATTATCCTGATAATTAAAAATTGCGAGTTAATACTTATGATGAAATTTTAAAAACTTACTTTCTTGCTCAGATAAAATTTCCAATTCTAATCAAAAAATGCACAAAATTATCTTGGGCCAAAATAAAATTCTTAAGTCGAGAAATCCGTCATCTTTGTGTACAATATATAACTCCACACAATAAAGAAAAAATTACTTACAGATAAATCACAATAATCGGTAATAAAATTGTACAAAGCTCATCTGCTAATTAGATGGTTCATTTGTCCTTTATTTGGATCACTCACGGCTATTTGACAGAACAATCCGACCTGGGAAAAAAATTATCCGTGGTTGTGCTCTCAATCTCTTGATGAACTGTCGTCGCTCCTTTTCCTGTCTTCTATATTTAGAGTGACTGTGGTAGACAATAAGCTCAATTCCAAAAATGACCAAACTCCACAGCAAAGTAGCCGCAAATACAATTAATAAAACACCAAGTTATCAAAGTCGATCCGTTCATAGTTTTCAGCTTTTTTAATTTTCTCCATCTTCTCTTTTCTTTTCCATAGGTTTTTCGTTATCTTTTCATCGTAATGGTAAATTAATCCTGTTTCCACCGGTATTGAACGAATTTTATCAATTTTGTCCTTCAGCGCCCAGTTCCTCTTTGTCCAAAACACAAAATATTTCTTGAACGTAATTTCCTTTGATACGTAGAGATTTTGAAGCTTTAAAGCGTTGAGGAGTTGTCTTACAGTCATGTCAATACAAGCAATGGTCGAATTTTTTTGGGCTTCTTTCATACATTTGTTCAGATCAGAATGACCCGATGGATGCAAGTATTTCTGGTCTTCTTCGGTCACCCACAATTTTTCATTTATCATGTCATTCTCTAATAATCCGTCGTAGTACACATGATACTGGTTGTCGAACAAATCCTTTAGAGTTTCGACATTGCGTCTTGCAGGTTGGGGTAGAATGACCGAGATTTGTCCTTGGAATTCGGGCATCACCACAAAAATGAATAAAAATCCAAAGAAATAAATGATCCGCATTGAGAGACGTCCCATTGGAGATATTATCCCCATGTTCAGTAACATGCTCACAATATCCATGATTCCTTCGCTCACGTTAAATTTATTGCTCATGGTTATGATTACTGCAATCAAGAACAACACAAAGAGTGTGATAAAAATGAACGGAAGATCAATGGGGATTTCGGTGACTACCAGTCAAATAATCTGTTTTCTTCGTTAGGATTGAAAAGTGCATTTCATGATACTCTGTCACAAAATCAGTCAAGCTAAGATTTGTATCAGCTAGTTGGTTCATGGCGTTAATCGCATCATACTGACGATTGAAAAGTTTTTCATCATAACCGTATTTCAATACTTTTATATCGGTATTCATTTCAGCAATTTGAGTCAATGCAGTTACATTCATATAATCAGATATTGAGTTCAGATCGACGTCCTTGAACTTTTCAGTGAATTTCATGTACTTAATAATATTTCTCTGCTTGTCTTGTTTGGGTAAATAATTTTCAATAACAGGGACGATTAGTTTTATTTGATGACCATCTAAGTGCTGAGTTTTATCAAAATAAATATTTTTATAGTTGTTCTTCAAATCTGAAAATCAATTGAAAAATATGATTTAGCTTATACAATTAGGTCGTAAATGATATTATGAAACTTGATAATTACCTCTCGGATTCTGCAAACTGTATAGTGTCGCTTTTGTTTTACTATTGCTCTTGGCATTTGCAAATTTAACTTGATTCCAAGGTGACGGAGCGTATTGTGTGTAAGGGTTCAGAGTGTAGACCATTGTTGAATCTTTTTTGTCATCATAAGATACATAGTAGGATATTAAAATATCGAGGCTTGCAAGGAATCCAAGAGCTATACTAGCGTCCATATCATGCGTCCCTTCAGAAACGTCGAGAAGGAAAATTGGCGACTTTATGTTGCAGGTTGATGAGCGCATGAACCCAAAGATGAGTGATACCAGTTTCGACAGAGATTCGTATCTGAGGATGTACGTAGGATGGCTGGGAAGATATCTTTCGATTTGCTTTCGTTTCTGATCACTATTTATAACGATCAGCGGTTTTCCAGAATCGACATTCTCACTTGCCACTTGGTCATCAACTAAGTCAGAAGATATGATCAGTGGATTCGAATTATTTGCAAATCCTTTATCAATCAATTCCATCTGCAAGAAAAATAAGCGATTTTAATAAAGATTAACAATTATTTAAATTTAAAAAAATAGTATGGTCACGCTCGAGTTCAAGGTGTGCAAAATAATCAACTCACCGTATGATTGATAAGGTGTGATTTGATTTCTAAACTGTTAATGCTGCTTCCATTTGAAAAGTGACCACTAAATACGCAACAGCAGTATAAAATAATTTTAATTAGCCGCATCATTAATCTATTTATGATTAACTTAGAAAATGAATCCTGCAGAATTAAACTTCAAAATTGTTTTGAAACTGTTAAGGTCTTTGATGTATTTAAAAAAGTAACGACGATTCGTCTGACGAGCTAGCGACTGAGTAGTTTGAAGTAATGTGTCTGACTGTATGCTTTGCAAAATGTGTAACTTTGTTTCGAATTGTTCCACATGACAACTGAAGCTAACAATGTGGTCAAACATCGTTAAAGTTAGTGAAGAGCTTCGTTGAAATGACTCGTTAACTAGGTCAGCTATTACTTGGTTATAGAAAAAGGAAGTTTTATTGCTTCCATAAAACTGGCTGAGGCCTCCACAAGAACTACTGGTGCTGTAGAAACTATCGACCAAAAATTGCCCGGGAGCTGTGCTCTAGCTCTTTCGTTTCACTAATCTTCCATCGGTAAGCAAATAATAACATACATTACAAACTTGACCGTCAGATATTTCCATCCGGTGCATCCAACGTGTCGATTTATTGAATAGATGAAAAAATAAATGAAGGATGAATAAAAAATCTTAAAATCGATTAACTTTGCAGGCTATTCCTAGAACTCATTGCTATTTACAAACTCAAAACGCTTAAAAAAATTTTTTATTACAATTTTTTCTGAACTTTTCGAAGTGAAAAAAATATAACTTTTATACATTTTCAAGCTTTTTTTTATACTATTAATGTTTCGGGGCTTTGTCGCTGTTAGCTCATCTTAAAATAGTCTCTAAATTTTTTTTAAGACTATTTTAAAATTTTTTCAAGACGATTTTAAGGTTTTTTTAAGACTATTTTAAGATTTATTAAAAACTATTTTAAGATTTTTTAAAGACTATTTAAAGACGCTCCATAATTATGTTACGAAGCTCTATCGTTGTAATATTTTTATAGGACTACTTTAAGATTTTTTCAAGACGATTTTAAGATTTTTTTAAGACTATTTTAAAATTACTTTACGACTAAAATCTTAAAAAATTCTTAAAATAGTCTTAAAAAAATCTTACAAAAATCATTTAAAAATTTCCAGGCTATTTTAAAATATCACATTGACAGCTCCGTAAAATTATTATAGAGCGTCTTTAAATTGTCTTAAAATGATCTTAAATTAATCATAAAAAAAATCTTTAAAAAAAATTTAGAGATTCTCTCTAAACATGAATTAGTGAAAATTCACTGGAATAAGTGAATATTCACTTTCTCTAAGTGCCAATCGAACCACTTTATTTTCAAAGTGGTTCGATCGGCACTTAGAATTAGTGAATATTCACTTATTCCAGTAAATTTTCACTAATTCATGTTTAGAGAGAATCTCTAAATTTTTTTTAAAGATTTTTTTTATGATTAATTTAAGATCATTTTAAGACAATTTAAAGACGCTCTATAATAATTTTACGGAGCTGTCAATGTGATATTTTAAAATAGCCTGGAAATTTTTAAATGATTTTTGTAAGATTTTTTTAAGACTATTTTAAAATTACTTTACGACTAAAATCTTAAAAAATTCTTAAAATAGTCTTAAAAAAATCTTAAAATCGTCTTGAAAAAATCTTAAAGTAGTCCTATAAAAATATTACAACGATAGAGCTTCGTAACATAATTATGGAGCGTCTTTAAATAGTCTTTAAAAAATCTTAAAATAGTTTTTAATAAATCTTAAAATAGTCTTAAAAAAACCTTAAAATCGTCTTGAAAAAATTTTAAAATAGTCTTAAAAAAAATTTAGAGACTATTTTAAGATGAGCTAACAGCGACAAAGCCCCGAAACATTAATAGTATAAAAAAAAGCTTGAAAATGTATAAAAGTTATATTTTTTTCACTTCGAAAAGTTCAGAAAAAATTGTAATAAAAAATTTTTTTAAGCGTTTTGAGTTTGTAAATAGCAATGAGTTCTAGGAATAGCCTGCAAAGTTAATCGATTTTAAGATTTTTTATTCATCCTTCATTTATTTTTTCATCTATTCAATAAATCGACACGTTGGATGCACCGGATGGAAATATCTGACGGTCAAGTTTGTAATGTATGTTATTATTTGCTTACCGATGGAAGATTAGTGAAACGAAAGAGCTAGAGCACAGCTCCCGGGCAATTTTTGGTCGATAGTTTCTACAGCACCAGTAGTTCTTGTGGAGGCCTCAGCCAGTTTTATGGAAGCAATAAAACTTCCTTTTTCTATAACCAAGTAATAGCTGACCTAGTTAACGAGTCATTTCAACGAAGCTCTTCACTAACTTTAACGATGTTTGACCACATTGTTAGCTTCAGTTGTCATGTGGAACAATTCGAAACAAAGTTACACATTTTGCAAAGCATACAGTCAGACACATTACTTCAAACTACTCAGTCGCTAGCTCGTCAGACGAATCGTCGTTACTTTTTTAAATACATCAAAGACCTTAACAGTTTCAAAACAATTTTGAAGTTTAATTCTGCAGGATTCATTTTCTAAGTTAATCATAAATAGATTAATGATGCGGCTAATTAAAATTATTTTATACTGCTGTTGCGTATTTAGTGGTCACTTTTCAAATGGAAGCAGCATTAACAGTTTAGAAATCAAATCACACCTTATCAATCATACGGTGAGTTGATTATTTTGCACACCTTGAACTCGAGCGTGACCATACTATTTTTTTAAATTTAAATAATTGTTAATCTTTATTAAAATCGCTTATTTTTCTTGCAGATGGAATTGATTGATAAAGGATTTGCAAATAATTCGAATCCACTGATCATATCTTCTGACTTAGTTGATGACCAAGTGGCAAGTGAGAATGTCGATTCTGGAAAACCGCTGATCGTTATAAATAGTGATCAGAAACGAAAGCAAATCGAAAGATATCTTCCCAGCCATCCTACGTACATCCTCAGATACGAATCTCTGGAAAAAGTTATGGCAATTTAAAAATAAAAAAGCGGTTTTTTTGAAAAATTCGGAACTTTTTTTTGGTTGGGTAAAAAAATTTGAAAAAATTATGAGAGACGTTTTTGATAGGGTAGAAAAGGATGGTAAACTTTCAGCCAAATCAAAAGGGGTCAGGGTCAAAAGTGGTCGATTTGGCGTGGAATGCCCCATATATAAGCTTCTATTTATAAGTAGGAAATACCAATGACGTCAACTGTAACTGGATAAACCACTTAATTTATTCGTATTAATATTATAATTATTATCCTCAAGACTTTCCTCATTCTGCGGAATTTTATCACTCTGCAGATTTTTTTCTATCAAACTTCGCGAGGGTATAAATACAACAGACTAATGAGAGAAGAAATCAGTTACAATTTCTGCCTTCTAACAGAAACATCAATTTAAATAAATAATAATAAATTTTGTCAGTAATTAAGAAGACAAAAATGGCGAAAAACTACCGCTCAATGTTACTGCTAGTGTGCCTATCGTTCTTAGTAATCGTCTCGTCTCCACAAAATGGCGCTCAAGCGGACAAATTGATCGGAAGCTGCGTCTGGGGCGCCACCAACTACACTTCGAACTGCAACGCCGAGTGCAAGAGACGCGGGTTCAAGGGCGGACACTGCGGGAGTTTCTGGAACGTCAACTGTTGGTGCGAGACATAAGATGGCGGATGGATACTAAGATGGCGGACGGAGAAGCGAAATGGCGCTGGACAAGTTTTTTTTCAATTGATTATTTTGATGCATTCAAATTTTGTTAAATTACTTTGGAAAAAAAAATTGTTTTGTTTACAATAAAATTAATTAATATTATTCCAAAATTTTATAATATTTTTATTATACAATTTTTTTACGAGGTAAAGTACTCTGGTGAATCAGTGTTGTAAATAATCTAGTTGTCGATTAATGTTTAACTTCCTGCTAAGAATTTTGAAAATTTTCAAAAGTTGGGAAGTTATTGGTTTTAGAATCCCGTTTTTCGAAAATCGAGTTTTCAATGGATGTTGATGTTTTCAGGTCCTAGGAAGCTTCCTCGAATGTTGGGAAGGGTGGCGCAAAAAAACCGACTATTTTTTTTTTTAGTCTCGAGTGAAAAAATGTCAGTTTTTGATGTTTTAAGAGCCCTCTCCAAAGAACAGCTCAAAAATAAATTTTTAAGAGGTCGCTCCAAATTTTTTTAAATTTCAAAAATCGAAATTTTTTTTTTTTTAATTTTTTTTCTCGTTACCTTATTATTTTATAGACCTAAAAAAATAAGTTCCTGAAAGTTTTAATTCAAAATTAAAATTTTGAAAAGTCGCTCATAATTTTTTTTATATTTCAGAGTCAAAAAATGCTAATCCAATTAAATAGTCACTAATAAATGAAAAAAAAATTATAAGCGACCTTCAAATTCAAACAAGTAGAATTTGAGAAATCTCAAGAAAACTGCAAAAAAAAATTTTTTCAAATGTGGTTTTTTTGAAATAACTTTCAAACGGCTTTACCGCTCGATTCCAAAAAATAATCAGCTCTTAAGATAAAAAAACTACGTTGATTGCTGCCAGCCGGGTCGAAATCGGTTAATTCGTTCGTGAATTATCGTTAACGAAAAAAATCGAAAAAATCATTTTTTGGGAATTACTTTGAAATTCCTTGTTCGATCAATTTAAACTTAAAGGTTCTTCATGAGGATCAAAAAACTGCGTTGAATTCCACTTACCACGTAAAAATCGGTTGATTCATTCAAAAATTATTGCGGCTTAAAAATTCGAAAAATAGTGATTTATTCAACGTCGAGCATATTTTTGAGCTCAAAATGATACGAAAATCTTATCTTTGAGCTCGAAGAGCTCAAAAACGTAATAAAAGCAGTTTTGTGCGCTTAAGTATGAAATGAGCGGGAAGTTGCAGGGATGGCCTTTAGGGTCAACCGATTTCCTATTTTTTTTCTATGCGAATTTTGTTTCTGAGATGAAAAAAGGACCAAATATTGATCAAGCAAGATAAGAATTTAATTTTTAAAAAAGTTTGGAAAATCCAAAAGTGCACGCCTCACACGTTCATTCTATAGAAAAATACAGGAAAATATATTTTTTCTATATTTAACTTCCCGCTAAAAAAAATTAAAAATTTTTTTTAATTCGGGAAGTCATTGGTTTTACCCCGTTTTGCGAAAATCGAGTTTTCATCAGATCTCGAAATTTTAAGGTCACAGGAAGCTTCCCTGACTATTCCCGCGATGATATGTGTGTGTGTGTGTGTGTGTGTGATATGTGTAAGGGTGTGAGAGGGTGTGCTATATTTCAAAATTTTTGGATATTAATTATCGAAATAATTTAAGTATGCAGTAATATTTTGCAATCGATTTCTTTAATACCACAAAATAGCATACATTAAAACTTGATTTAATTTACTAATTATTTCGCACTCTTTAAAGATTAAATCTTGTAAACGCAAAGTATTTTCCACAAAACATAAGACATAAATTATTTTTCAATCGAAAATACTTTTATGTTTAACTGAGCACTGCTTATAGGCGTATTAGGTAGTCACTTGAGCCAAGAAAATTTTTAGCTTTCTCCCCGTCACATACTGCTATTTTCTTAAAACAGAGATAATTATAACTTGAATTAAAAAAATTTTTCCCGCTAAAATTTAATAAACCTAATGGACAAAAAATATTCCTCAGATTAATTAACGATTTCATTACAATGATATGAAATAATCTCAAAGACAATATGAAATTGTATTGGCGTATTAATTGAAAATTTCAAGTCTAAGTAATAAAATTCTCGAAAATTATTTTCTTGTTCCGATTAAATTTCTGATTCCAATCCTAAATGCTCAAAATTTTTTTGAGCCAAAAAAAATTTCTTGGATCAAGAAATCCGTTATTTCTGTATAGAAAATGTAAAATCACACGGTAAAGACAAAAATACTCACAGGTCAAGCACAACAATCGGTAATAAAATTGAACAAAGCTCATCTGCTAATTAAATGGTTGACTTTCCTTTATTTGAATCACTCGCGAGTATTTGATAGAACTATTCGACCTGGGGTAAAATAATCCGTGGTTGTGCTCTCAATCTCTTAATAAACTGTCGTCGCTCCTTTTCCTGTCTTTGATATTTAGAGTGATAATAGTGAACAATGAGTTCAATTTCAAAAATGATCAAACTCCACAGCAAAGTAGCCGCAAACATAATGAAATAAAACACCAAGTTATCAAAGTCAATCCGTTCATAGTTTTCATTTTCTTTAATTTTCTCCATCTTCTCTTTTCTTTTCCATAAGTTTTTTATTATCTCTTCATTGTAATGGTAAATTAATCCTGTTTCTACCGGTATTGAACGAACTTTATCAATTTTGTCCTTCAGTGCCCAGTTCTTCTTTGTCCAAAACACAAAATATTTCTTGAACGTGATTTCCTTTGATACATAGAGATTTTGAAGCTTTAAGGCGTAGCGGAGTTGGTTTTTAGTCGAGTCAATACAAGCAATGGTCGGATTTTGTTGGGCTTCTTTCATACATTTGTTCAGATCAGAATGACGCGATGGATGCAAGTATTTCTGGTCCTCTTCGGTCACCCACAATTTTTCAATTATCATGTCATTCTCTAATAATCCGTCGTAGTACACATGATACTGGTTGTCGAACAAATCCTTTAGTGTTTCGACATTGCGTCTTGCAGGTTGGGATAGGATGGCCGAGATTTGTCCTTGGAATTCGGGCATTACCACAAAAATAAATAAAAATCCGAAAAAATAAATGATCCTCATCGAAAGACGTCCCATTGAAGACATTATCCCCATGCTCAGTGACATGCTCACAATGTCCATTATTCCTTCGCTCACGTTAAATTTGTTGTTTATGATTATGACCATTGCAATCAACATCAACACAAAGAGTGTTATTAAGATGAACCAAAGATTTATGTCGATTTCGGTGTTTGCCAACAAATAATCTGTTTTCTTCGTCAAAATTGAATAATACCATTCACGATACTCCGTCACAAAATCAGTTAATTTAGGATTTGTATCAGCTAATTGGGTCATGAGGTTTCTCGCATCATACTGACGATTGACAAGTTTTCCGTCAAAACCGTATTTTATATTTTTTCCTTTGAAATTGTTTTCGAGGATTTGAATTGACGTTGTTACGTTCATATAATCAGGTAATGAATTCAATCCGTTATCTTTGAATTTTTTTAAATATTCCATGTACTCAATAATATTTCTCTGCGTGTACTCTTCGGATAAATTTTTTTGGATAGTAGAGGCCATTAATTTTATTTCATGACCTTCCAAGTGCTCCGTTTTATCAAAATGAATATTTTTACAGTTGTAATTCAAATCTGAAAATCAGTTGAGAAAATTAGTTAAGCTTATACAACTGATAGATATTACTCGATTTTTCAACTTCCCGCTAAAAAAATCGAAGATTTTAAAATATCGGGAAGTTATTGGTTTTACCCCGTTTTGCAAAAATCGAGTTTTCATCAGATCTCGACGTTTGAAGGTCACAGAAAGTTGCTTCTCTGACTATTCCCGCGATTATATGTGTGTGTGTGTGTGTGTGTGTGTGTGTGTGTGTGTGTGTGTGTGTGTGTGTGTGTGTGTGTGTGTGTGTATGCAAACCTCATATATCTTTCGAACAGTTTGACTTATTTGATCGCGGTTGGCACCATTCAAAAGAGCTTAGCCAAATTTAGATTTTGAATACAATTTGGTCCGATTCGGACCAACAGATTTCGAGAAATCTCAAAAAATCTATGAAAAAATTTTTTTTTGAGTGGTTTTTTTTTAATAACTTTTAAACAGCTCGATCCGGTCAAAATAGGTTGATTCGATTGAGAGATATCGTGAAGGAAAGAAATCGAAAAAAAGTGTTTTTAGCGAATTACACCGAATTTCCGGTCTGATCAATTTGCGATTAAAAATATATCATAGAATTTGAAAAATTGCGTTGAATGCCGCCAACCGCGCGAAAATCTGTTCATCATTCAAAAGTTATTTCAGTTTGAAAGTTCAAAAAATAGTGTTTTATTAAACTGCTATCAGGCTATTGAGCTCGGAGAGCTTAAAATTACACAAAAATTATATTTTTGAGCTCGAAGAGCTCAAAAACGTAAGAAGTGCAATTTTGAGCACTTAATTACGAAAGTAGCGGGAAGTTGCAGGGATTGCCTTCAGGGTCAACCGTTTTCCTAATTTTTCTGTGTAGAATTTCTCTAACGGTGCTTTTTCTTCTGATTCCCTTAATGCGTACTTATTTCCCGTTTCGCATTCTGTATGTGCAATGAAAATACAAGCTTCGACATACATTTGATAGGCACGCTTAATTTCTCAATTCCGATACAGGGTATTTAAGACACAGGGTAGTAGAATATGCACGCGTCTTTAACGAATGTATCTTGTACACTGATAGAAGGATTTGTTTGTATTTAATAAATCAATTTATTAAAATCTTTTTCAGATATTTTTTTGGGTGGAAAGAATATTTTTTTTACTATTAACAATATTCGTTAGTATTAACTAAATCAATTTTTTATGAGAACAAAATTTTTGTAACTATTAAGAAGCTTTAGTGTATTGAAAAAAGTATTTATTTCCACCAAATAAGATTTGTTAATAGTTAACAAATATTTTGTTGGTGGTCGGTGTTGGTAGATGGCTCTACTTAATGCGTAGTTGTAAATAAGTATATTTTTGGCTACATTGGTTTAAACCAACACCTTGTATCTTCAAAAAAAAAAAAAAAAAAAAATAAGTATATTTGGCTACGTTGGTTTAAACCAACGCCTTGTATCTTATATTACTTTTATTAAAAAAAAAAAAAAAAAATTTAAACCAACAACCTTGTATCAATGAAAAAAAAAAAAAAAATAGTATATTTGGCTACGTTGGTTTAAACCAACGCCTTGTATCTTATATTACTTTTATTAAAAAAAAAAAAAAAAAAAAAAAAAAAAAAAATACGTATATATATAATGGGGCTGTTCATAAATTATACGTAAGCATAATTTGGAGCATTTTACAACCCTCCTCCCCCATGATAAACATTAGTAAGATTTTGAACTGATACACCCACCCCCCTTTGAAATCTTACGTAAGATATACATCAATTTTGGACTTTAAATAAGTTAAAAAATATTTTAAATTTCTAACAAATGCCATTGAAACGTAGTAGATTTAATGGGAATGCGTCACTTCTTATTTAGAGAATTTATCAATTAATAAATTAAATTTTAGATTCTATTCAGGGTACGTTTTAAAATGTGAGTTCTGCCTGGCTCCAGAGACTCGGTTACTTAAAAAATCTAAAAATAAATACCTCGAACTGGTCGTACAAACTAATAAAACCAACACCAATACTTATTATGTATAGCTTAATTAGGACTTCGAATAGGTGTTGCTTCTCCTGGTGAATTGGAACACGTGGCCTCTGGTACATGTTCTGGTGAATCCACCTCAAACCGCGTATTGGGAGTGAGATGTAATGGCAAGATGCAAATAACTGATTGACTTATTCGTTGGATAATTTATTTATTAACTATTGAATATATTTTAACCATTGATGCCTAACTTGGCAACATTCACACACGAACTAGAGCTAATTAGTAATATTAGGTGCTTCGAATATTACTAATAATATATCAAACTGTTCTGACTGAACAGGCAAAGTGAATCAAACTATTTATTACAAAATAGGCAAAAACAGATTAATTAAACTTGACGGACTAGGTTGAATTTTTCAAATTACCACCAACTGGGTAAGATTCAACCTTACAAACCCTAAATAGATTAACAGATCTGTTCAATTCAATTTTTAAGTTAAAATAAAATAATTCCATCGTTAATACTTAAAAATTGAATTGAACAGATACTAGGCTAGCATTCACCAGCTAACTAGTGTTCAAGTTCGATGGTTACCCATCGACCTAACGCTCCGGGGACGATTTGCCCTAAAATGTTAGTGAAGATGGAATATTACCATCCACTTGAATTAGATTTACACTAGCATAAAAAAAAAAATAATGACCGAAAGGCAAGAACGGGATATAAGAAGTATCTTGTAATCTTTGGAAAACGAGAACCTTCAGAGTGAGTAACTCTAGAGGGAGCACACTGTAATTGGATCAACGATACATTCGCTTTTTATCGTAAATGATTTATTAAACTTTATGATTACCTTTCGGATACTGCAAATTGTATAGTGTCGCTTTTGTTTTACTATTGCTCTTGGCATTTGCAAATTTAACTTGATTCCAAGGTGACGGAGCGTATTGTGTGTAAGGGTTCAGAGTGTAGACCATTGTTGAATCTTTTTTGTCATCATAAGATACATAGTAGGATATTAAAATATCGAGGCTTGCAAGGAATCCAAGAGCTATACTAGCGTCCATATCATGCGTCCCTTCAGAAACGTCGAGAAGGAAAATTGGCGACTTTATGTTGCAGGTTGATGAGCGCATGAACCCAAAGATGAGTGATGTCAGTTTCGGCAGAGATTCGTATCTGAGGATGTACGTAGGATGGCTGGGAAGATATCCTTCGATTTGCTTCCGTTTCTGATCACTATTTATAACGATCAGCGGTTTTCCAGAATCGACATTCTCACTTGCCACTTGGTCATCAACTAAGTCAGAAGATATGATCAGTGGATTCGAATTATTTGCAAAACCTTTATCAATCAATTCCATCTGCAAGAAAAATAAGCGATTTTAATAAAGATTAACAATTATTTAAATTTAAAAAAATAGTATGGTCACGCTCGAGCTCAAGGCATGCAAAATAATCAACTCACCGTATGATTGATGAGGTGTGATTTGATTTCTGAACTGTGAATGCTGCTTCCATTTGAAAAGTGACCACTAAATACGCAACAGCAGCATAAAATAATTTTAATTAGCCGCATCATTAATCTATTGATGATTAACTTAGAAAATGAATCCTGCAGAATTAAACTTCAAAATTGTTTTGAAACTGTTAAGGTCTTTGATGTATTTAAAAAAATAACAACGATTCGTCTGACAAGCTAGCGACTGAGTAGTTTGAAGTAATGTGTCTGACTGAATGCGTTGTAAAATGTGTGACTTTGTATCGAATTGTTGCTCATGACAACTGCAGCTAACAATGTGGCAAAACATCGTTAAAGTTAGTGCGGAGCTTCGTGGAAAAGACACGTCAACTAGACCAGCTATTACTTGGTTCTAGAAAAAGGAAGTTTTATTGCTTCCATAAAACTGGCTGAGGCCTCCACAAAAACTACTGGTGCTGTAGAAACTATCGACCAAAAATTGCCCGGGAGCTGTGCTCTAGCTCTTTCGTTTCACTAATCTTCCATCGGTAAGCAAATAATAACATACATTACAAACTTGACCGTCAAGTATTTCCATCCGGTGCATCCAACGTGTCGATTTATTGAATAAATGGAAAAATAAATGAAGGATGAATAAAAAAAGTCTAAAAATCGATTAACTTTGCAGGCTATTCCTGAAATTTCTTGCTGTTCACAAACTCAAAACGCTTAAAAAAATTTTTTATTACGAAGTTTTATGAGCTTTTCCAGGAGAAAAAAATATAACTTTTATACATTTTCAAGCTTTTTTTTATACTACTAGAATTTAAATTTGCGCGCGCAAACGAGCCCCTGACTATAGAATTTGCATATATTTTCATGCTTATGATATATTGGACCAATCACGTTACGAATAGTTTGATGCCACATACATTTCATCTCAATTTTATATTAGGACTAGAATTTAATTTTCGCGCGCAAGCGCGCGCCTCATATTTATTGTCATGATATATTTATGTGTCGTTTATGTATATTATATTCACTTTCAACCAATCAGAATGAGAATAAATATTTTCAACCAATCACATCACGAATAGATTGGTTTCACATACATTTCATCTCAATTTTATTATGGGATTAATTTTTTGTCATCGAAATTTTCATTTTACGGTTTTGTTAACTTTTAAACGGTTAGTCCGTTTAATTTGTGGATAAGGACCTTTTAGCCTAAAATTTTTAGGTAGATTTCGTTAAAAATATAACTATTGCATTAGTCCTTATGGTGGAATTTCCTCCTGATTTTGCTATTATATGTCATAATTAGTCAAGTAAGTTCCAAAAATACCATTGGTTTTGAAAAATTTATATGTATGTATATTTTAAGTTGTCGACTGTAACGTTAATTATTACAATTGTATTTTTATTTTTATATATTTAATACAAAAAAGTATTATAGTTTGCAAGTTAAGACTATAAAAAGTGCATAACTCTTGTTTTAGCTTATAAATTCTTCTAATAAATTTACAAATAATTTATTTATCTTTATTTTATCTAAACTGGTCTATGAGTATAATTTAAATTACAATTATTTTTATGGGTAAAATTCAACTCAATAAAAAAATAAAATTTCGGATCAATTTTTATTTTTTTCTACATTATTTACAACTTTACAAAATTGAGAATGATATCAAAATCAAATCTCAGTGTCAGAATCGAGTGACCCTGGCAGCGTCTGCGTTGGTCTCGTCTTCCTCGTTGATGGTCGCCTCCGTTTGATAGAGCCGGGGGCTGGAGCACCGGGAAGGGTAAGCTTCATTGGGGCTTTTCCGCGACGGAGAGAGCCGTTTTCCCTCGACGTAGATTTCCGTCTCTGTGCCATCATCATTGTTGTCCGAGTCGAAGTGCGGCGGATGACCTCGGGGTAAATTATCGTGGTAGCTGTGGCCTTCGTAGGTCGGCTGTGCGTAATTTACCTCTACTTTAACGCCCTTTTTTTTGGCCTGTTGGTCAATTATTTATTATTAATTATTTTTTATGAAAAGAGAAATTAAAAATTTTCTTAATTTCGTCAGTTTTGTAACCCCTTTTTTTTTAATCGAAATAGTACATTTCTCACCTAGGGCAGGAAAATAAGAAATGTCTCAGATCACATGTAATTGTTGACCGAGGCGAAGCCTTATATCAAGTCAAATAATTTGTCAGGCACATGAAATATATTTCAATAAGAATTTTTTTGCACGGAAAAATGAAAACAAGAATAATTACAGTATAAACTGTAAAATCAAGCGCGTCGTTATCAAAATAGAAAAAATTAAAGTTCAAACTGTAATTTTTGTATTTTATATAGTAACAAAATTGTTGTCATGCAAGAAGCAAATTTTACAGTTTGGAATTGTAAATCTAACATCATAAAAGGTAAAAATATTATTGCTTTTTATGCAGGAAATTTTATCTCTTTAAAAAGTCATTAATTTCTATTTAAAACTGTAAAAATGATCATTTTTCAGCAATTTACAAATTAAAATGCCAAATAATATAGTTTATTTACTGGTTCACTAAAATTTACAGTGTGAGATACGAATTATGAACGTTAGTATAGAAAAAGTAACTATTGCATCTCACGCTGTAATTTTTAGATTTTCTATATTAAGTACAGTCAATACTCTAGCAGCCAGGAACTTACTGCTTAAAATCCAAAATTTAACGTTTGGCTCAGCAATGTTTGAATAGCGGTAGAAAATTCTATTTCCTCTCCCGTATAAATTGGACTTAGTTTTTTTCAGTCACTATTGTCGACGCATACTATTTACGCTTGTAGCTTATAACTACCCTCTACTACACAGAATGCTATGTCGTTCGAATAGCGTCGGAATAAAACGTCGGTCTTTCATGCGTAGACGCTGGGATCGAATCCTCGCTAGGGTAATTTGCGATTAATATTATTATAAGTTTATTTATATAAGGAACGCGAGTATGTGTGTGATATGATCAACTAATTTCCTAATACCAATCCCCTCTCCTCTTCCTCAAATTAAAAACTTCGAAAATAAATATGATAAGAAATATGTCCCATGAATATATGAATAACCAATACCAAAAATTAAATTTCATTCAAAAAAAAATTTTTTTTTGTTTCACATATAGACTTTAGAATTACCGTTTTTCATCTTTGCCACACTAAAATTCAATATATGACAGATAGTTACTTATTGCAATATTAGGATATAAATATTTAGGTAGTGAGTATTATTAATGGGAGAAAAAAAATATTTTATATATTGATATTTTTTTTTTATTTCCGTGTAAAAAATCGAATTCAAACTTGTTAAATGAAAATCTAAATTTTAACGCTTATCGAGTATTATTTCAATGAATTGTACAAAAACTTACAGTGTGAGATAGTAACTTTTATACATCGTGAAACTCTAATATTTCTTACTCAAAATGTAAAACTTACTGCGTAGCGCCAAGCTGTAACTTTTAGATTTTCGTTAACGAAGTGCCGGGTTACTATTTGAAAATCTAAAAAATGCTCAACGAATAGTCAATTATTCCTGTTTTCTTTTTTCCGTGTGTTTAACATAGTAAATAATAACATTAAACGTATAATCTTTTCTGTACGTCCGTGTATGGATGGGTATATGTAGCAGGAAAATTAATCGAAAAAATGATCATACCGGAATAATTTTTTTTTTATTATCTCAAATAACACACGATGGATTTTCTCAATTAATATGAACGTTCAATTCGCTGTCGTTAAATTATTATTTATAAATAACTATTATATGACTGTGGATTTTTTTACATATCTATTTAAACTCTTTGCTTCGCAAATCTCTCCAACTTTACTTCATTTCACTTGAAAAAAAAATTATTTTCCACCTTTTCCGCTCAGAAAATCACTAAAAACACGCTCTGGGCCTTAAAAAATCCCAAAAAAAAAATTACATCCTAAAATTCTGTACTTACATGAGGATTCTGTACGCAGACACGCGGAACAACATAGTGGTTCTCAGTCTCGTGCATATCAGAGAACCCGTAATTGTTGAACCCGATCGCAGAACCCGCTTTAAGGTTGCCTTGCCTATCGGGGGTGTCTTGTCGTTGCGAAGAGTGCCCACAGATGCCGCCAGCCCTCGAGTTCCGATCAGCTGGGCTGGAGTTCCCGTAGTAGTTCGGTTCCGCCTGAAGTCTCGCTTGGTTCCCGACACCCTCCATGGGCAAGACGTAGTCGTGGAATGGCCGCCTCGACTGCGGAAAAAGATCACCAGAGTTAGTTATTGAGGGAGGGTAAGCTTTATTATATTATATTATATCATCAATGCATCACTGATCCTCTTAAGGAAGCCCCAGAAGCTTTGAAGGTCAATAGCAAGGCAGTGACAATCATACGCATATAAACGATTTTGTTCTTCAAATGAGGATATTTATACCAGCAAATCCATTAGTTCTTTTAACAAACATTAGTCAAGTCATAATAACAAACCAGTTTGTTATGTCACTAAATTAATCTATTATTCTAAGGTAAAGTACCCAGGACTTGAACACTTATAAAAATGGGATCAGTACTTGAACAGACTTTTCGAATTGTTGTAATACAAAATCCGTAAATTTGTTATGAGTAATATAAGCATGTTATACTTATTCAATGATACAGTAATTGATTTCTGTAAGTTTTTTCAATTATAAATCAAAACCATTATATTTTTGTTAACTTAAAAGTTTACATGTCGAGAATAGCCGATAATTGCTATTTTTTTCATGATTGTTCAACTACTACTCCTTTCATAGTCTATCTTAAAAACGTTGTCAAAATATAAACATTCAATCATCTTAATTATATTGCGCTTCAATCAATTCAAATTTGTTTATATTTTCATTAAAATCACTAATTTGAACTAATAATTACATCTTTCAATGACTTCCTATATATATCTTGACTTCTTATATATTACAAATATATTAAAAATTCTTATATATTAAAAATAGGGTCAAATACGTTTTACTTTGAAACCTGTTCAACTACTGGGTACTTTACCCTAAAAGATTCTTCTCTCACAAAATTGTTTTGTTAGAACATATAAATCGCCAATTATATCCTAAACTTTGCTATCATATGATTTGTTAATCGGTGCTAGGTCAAAAACAACTCAGACAATACAACTCTGACTTTAATAACTTCGGACAAAACAAGTCAAGACCAAAACAACTCCGGACGAAACAACTCCAAACCAAAACAACTCCGGACGAAATGACTCAGGACTAAAAAAACTCCAGACAAAACAACTCACATCCAAAATAACTCCGAACAAAACGATTCAGAGCATAAACTCAGTAATAATTTCAACTTATAATGTATACAATGAACAGGAATCGATTCGCACAAACATATTTATTTAAAAAACACATCATCATGATCATCACGATCATCCTCATCATCAATATAATCATCATCATCATCATCATCATCATCATCATCATCATCATCATCATCATCATCATCATCATCATCATCATCATCATCATCATCATCATCATCATCATCATCATCATCACCAATTATCATCATCACCAATCATCATCATCATCAATATCATCAGAATCATCAATATCATCATCATCATCATCAATCATCATCATCAGCATCATCATCAATATCATCATCATCATCATCATCATCATCATCAATATCATCAATATCATCATCCTCATTAATATCATCAATATCATGATCATCATGATTATCAGTCATCATCATCATCATCAATATCATCAGCATCATCAATATCATCAGCATCATCAATATCATCAGCATCATCAATATCATCATCAATCATCATCATCATCCTCATTAATATCATCGTCATCATCAATATCATGATCATCATGATCATCAATCATCATCATCAGCATCATCAATTCATCATCATCATCATCCTCATTAATATCATCGTCATCATCAATATCATGATCATCATGATCATCAATCATCATCATCAGCATCATCAATTCATCATCATCATCATCCTCATTAATATCACGATCATCATGATATTGTTAATCATTGTTAATCTTATAACATATTCATTTGCTACTACATGTCTTACATTGTCCCATCAAATTTATCTTTTGCCTGTAATTAATCATTGGAATTACGTCAAAAGTTGTTACCTGTCGAAAAGATCTGCGACGAGGTTCCGAGCGGAATTCTGCATTCTCAAATGGACTCCGTATATCATTCTGCCGCTCTAGGTGAGTTAGGATGTAGAAGACCTTGAGAATCAGCCCGGAGATCAGCGTGTATGAGCTTGCGATGAGGGACAGAGCTACGATAGTCTCCCGCCATCGAGGTGGAACTATGACGAAAACCAGGATCCAGATACTCCAGACGCCCAAGAGACCTAGGCTGGTGAACAGGAAGCACCGTCCTTCGCGGTAGTTCCGCGGGTTGTGGAAGATTAAGAGTGACATGATCAGAAGAGCGAGCAGAAGGAAGATGTTGTACCCTGGAAGAAAGAAGAGGTTTAGATCAATTGGGAAGATTTTAGTAATGAATCTTCGTTGGAAGGATTGATGGAAAAAGAAATCTTATAGAGGAACATGATGGAATGTCATTTTAGAGCAGAAATTATGGAAATTCGAACTAAAAGTGGTTGTAAGGCTATCAAAAACGAGAATTAGAGATTTAGATTAATTTTTAAGATTTTTATGATGAGTTTTAGCTAGAATATAAAAAAGAGACACATTGAAAAGAATTGACGAACTTACCAGACAAAGCAACAAATTGATAGCTGATGAGCACATCCTGGGACCTGCTATCGTTCACTAAAAAGAAGACAGTTGAAATAGCAAGCTGGACCGCATTGACAAAGAAGGCCATGACAGCTTGCAAATACCCGTTAATGTGACTAGAAAAGACTCCCTTGGTAGAGAACGCCAGGAAGAAGCTCCTGGCTAGCATCAGGGAGAAAACAAACCCCGTGGAAACTGTAGTCGAGAAGATCTTCCATTTGTTCAAGACTTCCTGATCCTCATTATCAACCAGGCAGAAGACGACCACAGAACCCAGCATGGAAACCGTTCCAACAATCAGCACCAAGGTCAGCACCGGGTTTCCATCCATGAACTCATCAGCAATGAACCTGTAGCCTACAAAAAGAGCAACGCAGAGACATAGCAGGGCGCCGAAAGCTGCAAAAACCAGGAAAATGATGCACCAGGCATCTATTAGCACAAAAACTTCATAATTTCCAGCAGTTGGAGGTTCCGTAGTCCGGATTCTGGGCTTGTTGATGCAAGAACAGGTCGCGGCTTGACCAGAATCCTCGCAGATGACCTTGGTCTGGTTCCGCGGGCGTGATTTGCCCTTTAGCGGCCTGATTTGCGCTGAATCATCAACTTCGTAGCTTAGAATCTGCTTCAAGGTCTCTTCGGATTCAGTTTTCTGAAAGACTGTCCACTTGGTACGCTGGGACTCAATCCCCAGGAGCTCTAAAACCTTTGAACTGGGTACCGAAGGCACCAGTTTAGCGTCAAAGGCTGGCAGGGTGCAGGATTCGCTGCAATTTGGGCCCTTGAGACTCGACAGAAGCTCTGCGATGCCAACCAAAGGCTGTCCTAAGCTGGTGATCATCGGAACTGGGATTCTAATCTGGTCCTCTTCAGATTCCGAGTCCGCAGGCTGGAGGATCCTGGTCTCCGGTGCTAAGATGAAGGATCCAGGTGGCAGGATGTCTGAAACATCGGAATCGTCCAAGGGAATGACCACCCAGGTCTTCAAAGAGGCTTCGCTGATCCAGGACCTGATGAAGGACTCTGGTCCGGAAAGCACGATGGTGCCCGCTAAATTGTCCTCTAGCTGTGCTACATTGTCCACGCTCTTGATGCAGAGGTTCAAACTCTGGGACTGATTCATGAAGAGATCCAAGGTCGAAATTGAGTCGGTGAGCAGCAGATCCACCTCCGGAAAGCTTCGGGTCAAGAAGTCCAGGGCTATGGAGACTTTTGGCGTCAGGAAAGAGCTGTAGTAGGTTACTGGCAGCTCCGCGAAACTCGCAAGCGGACTTAGGATCTCCTGGTAGTGCAAGGGGACCAGCAGACCTAGTGAATAGTACTCTGGACAATCGATTGAGCTCAGCAAAGCTTCTCGCGCGGCGATTGATGAGTCCTGACAGGTGTCGATGATCTTCAGACCTGGAATTTTGAGATTGTTAGATGGGGGAGGGGTTGAGATTGAGGAGGGGCTGACCTAGAGAAATCCCGGGAGTAAAGTCGATTTTGTTTAAGGTTGATGTTATGTAAAGAGTCGTCGTTAATTCTTGGAAGCCTTTTGGTGACGTCTCGTTGCATGATTGGCCCTGGAAGAGGTCGATGAAGACTGAAACAAGAGAAATAGAGAAATTTTTGGATGGGAGGTGTTGAGAGTTAAGTTTGACAGAATTTTGAAGCAAATTGGTCAAGTGGTTTTGAAAATAGTTGGGAAATTTAGAAGATAGTGAAAAAATAGTGTTTTTTTTTTGTTTTTGGGAGATAACTTTTGACCTTTTGAACCGATTGACTCAAAACCTTGTATGAAATTTTTCTACTTGGCAAACTACGTCGATTGACACCAAGAAAATAAAAATCGAACAACGTGTTCAAAAGTTGTAACTTTTTTATAGCATTTCAAAAATATGGTTTTTTTAAAGTAACTTTGAGATTTTTGAACCGATTGAAATTTTTGACGTGGCAGTTGATAGGGGTTGTTAAGAGTTAAGTTTGATGAGATTTGGAAAAAAATGGCCGTCGTTTTCAAGATATTTGGAAAATACAAAAGAAAGCGGAAAAAATAACGTTTTTTTGAAGGTAACTTTTGAATTTTTGAACCAATTCGAAAGTTTTGATGTGGTAAACAATAGAATTCGTTGGGAGTTGAGTTTTATAATATTTCGAAGCTAAATATAGAATTAAGCCTAAGAAAAGAGTTTTTTAGGTTTTTTGAAGATAACTTTTGAATTTTTGAACCAATTGACTCAAAACCGTATATAAACTTTTTCTGTTTGACAAACTACGTCGATTGCTACCAAAAAAATCAAAATCGAACGACGCGTTCAAAAGTTGTAACTTTTTAATACCATTTCAAAACTATGTTTTTTTAGGTTAACTTAGAAATTTTTGAACCGATTGAAACTTTTGGTGTGACAATCGATAGGGGTCGTTAAGAAATAGGTTTGATGATATTTTGAATGAATTTGACCTCGTGGTTTAGAAGATATTTGGAAAATATAAAAGAAAGCGGGAAAATAGTGTTTTTTTTGGTTTTTTGACAATAACTTTTGAATTTTTGAACCGATTTGCTCAAAACCACATATAAACTTTTTCTGCTTGGCAAACTACGTCGATTGCCACCAAGAAAATCAAAATCGAACAACGCGTTCAAAAATTGTAACTTTTTAATACCATTTAAAAACATGGTTCGTTAGGGTAACTTTGAGATTTTTGAACCGATTGAAATTTTTGATCTGGCAATCGATAGAGGTCGTTGAGAGCTAAGTTTGACATAATTTTAATGTTAATCGATGGAGCCATTTTCAAAATATTTAAAAAATATTGAAACAAAGCGAAAAAATAGTGTTTTTTTGGTTTTTTGACAATAACTTTTGAATTTTTGAACCTATTTGCTTGAAACCATACATAAACTTTTTCTACTTGGCAAACTACGTCGATTACCACCAAGAGAATCAAAATCAAATGACGCGTTCAAAAATTGTAACTTTTTAATACCATTTCAAAAATATGTTTTTTTAGGGTAACTTTGAGAGTTTTTAACCGATTGAAACTTTTGATGTGGCAATCGATAGGGGTCATTATAAATTAAGTTTGGCATAATTTTAACGTCAATTGATAAAGCCGTTTTCAAAAAATTTTTAAAAAATTGAAAGAAATTTGAAAAGTAGCATTTTTTTATATTTTTGACAGTAACTTTTGAACTTTCCAACCGATTGATTCAAAACCTTATAAAAACTTTTTCTGCTTGACAAATTGCAATGATTGTTATCAAAAAAATAAAAATTGAACCGCGTGTTCAAAATTTACAGCGAATAAGAACTATGTCTGCTTTACAAACTTAAAATTATTCGATTAATTATGTGTTTAAAAAAATTTACCTGTCAAAATAGCGTCACCACTAGTTTCCAAAATAGTTTGATTCCTTGCACAATTTCCATTTTCAATCGCTATCGTTCCCGTAATAATTATCAACCAAACAAAAATCATTTTTTTATATTAATTAAAATTTCTAATAAATTAATTATTACCCTAAAAATAGAAAAAATCACTTTTAATATTAAATAATTGTCACATAGCTTGTTATTGTCTTCTTTTCACTTAGAATTTTAAAATAAAATATTGAACCCTCCCCTTGAAATTAATTGACCTTTTAAGAACCACACCGCTCATTTTTACACTTTAAATGAAGTTTGTAGGATTTAATAGTTAATAATTGATAATTGATAATAATTGGTGAGGAAGGTAATGAAAAATAATAATATCAATAGGATGGATTGTGAGCTAGAGACTAAAGTGCTAGTAGAGAAGAAAAGAAGGTAAGAAGGTATATTGTACTGAATAAATAACATTGGATTGTTAGAACTCATAATTTGCCGATACATTAGTTTAGAAGCCGCACTACTGCTACAACTACTTTTATATTTACTTATATATATGTAACGCACATTTTATAAATGAATTATGTCTTAGCGCTGGATTGTCAAAGACATTTATTTTTTTATTCATGGTCACTTTTATTATTATTATTATTATTATTTTTATTTTTTAAATTGAGGTTTAGATTTAAAAATTTTTATTAGTTGAAAAATTAATTTTTCAGAAATTTAGTTTTATTTATAAAAAAAAAAAAAATTAAAGTTAATTTTTATGAAAATCTATCAAATTTTCTTTAATAAAAAATTTGTATCATAAAAAAGAAAATTGAATTTTTTAATTTTGAATTTTGCGCGCTTAATTTTAAAAATTCAAAAATTTTAATTTTTTTTTAAATTGATTAAGTTTTCTCTAATAAAAAATTTTTAGAACAAAAAAATCTAAGCTTTACATTGTTCAATTTCAAATTTACTGAATTTAAATACTAAAAAAATTAACTTTTAAATTTTATTTAACGGAAGTTAATTCTCTAAATATTTATCAAATTTATTTTTTAATAAAAATTTTTTATAATAAAAAAAAAAACATAATTTTTTATTTTTAAATTTTTTGTTCTTAGTTTTTGAAATTAAAAATTTTTAGATGGGTAAATGCACCAGTTGTTGACCGGTCACCAATTAGTTGACCGATGTATAAAAAAGTTAATTAATTAATATTTTACAACGGTTTTTTTTTCTTAAAGTATTAAAATAAAAAAATATGGCATTCTATCATCATAATAAAAAAATACGCAATTAATTGCGCAGTGATTATAAATTTAAAAAAATATTCTGAGTTTGTTTACAACGCAACCAGCCATAAAGCGGTCAAAAATAACTACCGTACAATTGGAGAGTGAGTGCATTTCATCATTAATTTAGTGATATTTATCGGCATAATATAAAATATTTTAGTTTTATTATGTTAATTAAAGATCAGATTCCAACTTTTAAAAAAAAATAAAGTTAAATTATAAGTTTTAATATTATTTTAAGACCGGTCAACTATTGGATCCGTCAGAAGCCCTCCTTTACCCAGTGAAAAATTCATTCGGTCATTTATTAGACCCTCTGATTTTATTACAATCCAATTAATGACCGTATATTTATAATACTAACTTCTTCACCTCAAAATTAAATCTGTCAAGTCTTTAAAGTACTTTAGTCATTCAATATTTTGTAAATATAAAAATAATCATTATAAAATGTATATTTATAATTAAAATAATACTTAAAATCTTTTTTGATTATTAAATTTTATTTTTTTCTAATTTTTTTAGTGAACGGTTATATCAAAGAACGAATTATTAGAAGAAAAAAATGCTAAGCAATTAAAAAAATAAAAAAGAGTTACAAGCTAGTAAAAAAGCTTTATTTGAGAAAAAGAAGGAGAAGAATAAAAAAATTTCAAATGAATCAGAAGAATTATCGTGATCAAAATGAATTTGTGATTATTTGTGACCTAAAGAAATGTGACTTCATGTTAATTATTGCTATTATTTATATTATTTTATAAAAAAGTACGATTTAAAATTATATTGTATGTTTAGTTTTGTTAGAGATGTCGTTGATACTTCAAAAGTACTGCATAAATTTAATTACATACATGTAGTTTACAAAATTACTTATAATTATTTGAGCGGTCAATTAATTGGAGAACGGTCGGTCATTTATTGGGTTTCTTCGGTCAATAATTGGTGATTTTAGTATTTCAAGATTCAAATAACAAAATTAATATAATTTTGTTAATTTTTATTGTAAATAGTTATTAATCATTATTAATTAAGTATTTAACTTTGATAAAATCCATTACAAATTGTTTTTAGTAGGTTAATAGATTTTTTATAGCTTAGTACAGGAAAAGAAAACCTTAATCGGTCAATAATTGGTGCATTTACCCTATATATTTTTAAATTGCTCGCGCTTAATTTTCAAAATTTAACATTCAAAAAAATTAAGTTTTTCTTCTGGAAAAATTTTTTCATTATAATTAATTTAATTACATATTTTTTATACAAAAAATTTCTATAAAAAAAAAAAAAAATAAACTTCAATTAACTAATTTTAATTTTCCGAAAAAATTTATTAATTTTTTTTAATAAAAAAAAAAAAACAAAACTAAATTTTGTAATTTAAAATTTTTTGAGCTCAATTTTTGATGAAATTATATTTATCCGGTTCTTTGACCATTTTTTAATTTTTTTCACTAAAAAAATTGGTTCTGAAAAATTATTTTTAAAAAATTACATTTTTAAAAATTTTTACATGTCAATTTTTTTTTT